ATTGAAAATTTCATCAAAAATATATACTTAATGGGATTTTTTTTCCTGCTTCTCCTAGGCAGGTCTTAAAGCTCGTGTGAACTTGAGGGTAATTTCGCATCTCCGCTGCAGTCCTTCATTTTCCAAAGGAGGAGAACAACAATAGCCCACCTTGTTAAAGCTCTTGGAGATAAATTACTGGAGAACATTAAATAAGAGCTCGCTGTTATACCAGGGAGCACTTGAGGTCTTGCCATTCTCCTGTGAGGTTGGATGTGCTCTATAACTGATGCTTGATTAATCTGTGCCCATCACGGAGGCTGTCCCAGGGACGCTGCAATCATTGCTTCAGTATTGGTCTGAGGGGACCCATCACTTCGGAGGTGGTTTTAAAGAGGAACGTGAAATGAGCTGAGACTTAACACCTGCACATCGAGAGAAGATAGATGGAAAAACTAAACCGGTATCTCAGGCAGGGGGGCAGGTTAATCCCCAGCAGGGTCCGTTTGCTCGGGTGGGTTTTTAACAAAACAACTGGGCTAGACTTTGCAGGTGTTAACATAAAATATAAGTCTTTGAGGTAGGCACTGAGATGTCCCTGCTCTGGGACTTTCCTCCTGCAGGTGACCCTGCTCTTTGCATGGGATATCCCATTGCATACAGGCTGCAGGCAGAGTTACGAGCCCCACCAGGTGGTTTCCGTGGCCGTGTTGTGTTAACACAAACGCCTGCAGAATGCGCAGGGCAGAGGAGACTCAGCCCAGCACTCACCGAACATTTTGCAAAGAGGATTAGGAGCTGTGGGGGGATGATTGTTATCATTAACGACATCGGGAGGGAGGCGAGCGGGAACTCGGCATTCGGTACTTTGACAAAAGCCACAGGGTCCAGATTTGCACTCGAGCTCTGCAAAACGTTCTGCGCTGAGGCTTAGAGAGAAAGCAAGGTAAAATGTTTATTATACTAATAATTCTTTAGTTAATGTCAAGACAGGTGAAGAGGGTGCCTAACGCTTGCTCCCCTGCTAATGCTTTGCCAATTCCACACGCCAAAAAGACTGATGAGAAGATGCAGGTTGCACAGAGGAAGCAGCAGGCTCTGTACTGCTGAACAGAAAGGGCTAAAACTGCACAAAGCTGCCGCCGAAGTGTTTGTGCAGTTAGCACATATCCTCCTCAGCCTGGAATGCAGTGCTCAGCCTCTCCGGCAGCAAAGGCACCCGGGAGGACATGAGCAGGCAGCTCTGGGTGCTCGAGAGCCTCCTCGTGTGCCTCCGAGGGTCTCAGCCGCAGCTCCTGGGTCTGAGCCCGTGCCCAGGTCTCATTTGAAGGCTGTAAGATGTGGAGGTATAAGAGGTGCAAGGAGGTGCCCACTGAAACATGCACATTAACTAGAGGATGACCTTATATGAAACATAAAGAACCAACAAAGAGGCAAGCAAGCTGAATTTGGGGTCTTTCCAAACCCTTTTATGACCAGGTTTGGGTCTCTGGGTGCGTGGGAGCTGGCTCAGGCCATCTCCATCCCCACCCCGCACCCTCCGGGCTGGTTCCCCAATCTCAGGGGCGCTCACAGGGCTTGACGACTCCGACTTCAGCCTGCAGTTCTGAACCTGGAAATGTAGGTCACTAATCTTCGGCGTGACCCAGATTCACAGCTCCAAGCAAGCCCCCTTTGCTGGTGCTGATGTTTCCTAGCTTCAGGTTGAATCGAGAATACACACAGGCGGATGGGTGCCCTGCTTTGCTGGGCTCTTTGGGGAGGGAGGGCACGGCCGTGCACAGGCAGGTGCTGCACGGAGAAGGATAGATAACAAAAGGAATTTTAACATTTCTGCTATCTTTCTATTCTTTCTATCTTTCTAGTATGTTGAACAGGGTGGGGAAAGAAAAAAAAAAAACCCTCTGGCAGGTGCTTTTCGTGAATAAAGGAATATGCAGTGTTTCATATGCTTTATCCTTTTTTTTTTTTTTTTATCAAAGTGCCAATTCCACTGATCCCTTCAGTCTTTATCTTCGCTCCATCCATCATGTTACCTCAATACCCAGAATATCTTTAGTCTTGAGAAAATATGAATAATAGCAGCTGGATTTTGCCCATAGGGAAAAGGGAAAAGCCTTCACACGCCTGCTATGTTCCCCAGGCTTGGGAGGACATTTAAAAACACTGCTAGACAATTGATAAGTAACCCCTTCTAGAAGCAAAACAAGAGCAAAAAGATAAAATAAGAGGAATAAGAGGAATAAGGTGAAAATATGGGGAAAAAAGGAAAGGGAAATTTTTGTATGGACAAGATATGGGAAAGCCACCACTCCTGGTGACACTTCCCATCACCAGATTGCAGGGGCTGCCCAGGGGGAGCTGTATTTTTGGCTGTTTTCCTCTCATTATCAGCTGGTGAGGGACAGGTCAGGCACCTCGGTTTGATTCAGGACCAGCACCCATCGTGCAGGACTGATCCAGCACCGAGGGCCAGGCTCAGACCTGGCTGCAGAACCCGGCTGGGCACCACGCACCTCTTCTGCTCCATCACACCTTGTTTAATTTTGGGTACCATGCCTCATGTATGAATGTAGGTCATCGCTTACACTGTGTCTCGGTGAACTGTGAATCTCAGCCGAGCCTCTTGTCTTACGTGTGAGAGGATTTTCTCACCTCCCATCGCTCCAGGCTGCTGCTGCTTTGAGTTCCTCCACTGCAGCGAGCCTGTGCTCCCAGCAAGTGTCAGCAAAACTCACAGCAGCAGTGACTGTGGGCTGCGGACATCCCCAGGGAGAAAGGGGAGTCACAAACCTTGTGTCAGCACCCCCATGGCATCTCCCATCCGCCATCCCTGATGCCATTTGAGCACCTCTTTAGTGGGTCTCCCTTTGGTGCACTGGGGTGACAAGAAAATCGATGTCTTGTGTACACAAGGCATCAATATTCTTAAAATCAGTGGAATAACTGCACACGGTATTGGTGGAGATCCAATCTTTCTGGCCTTTTATTACAGCAGGAGGGCAAAAAAGAAGCAAAACAAAGCATCCATGTAGCGAGAACAAAACAAGGGCTCAATGCCCAGGCGCTGGCATCGCAGTAAATCCGCTCCTGCCTCCCCTGGCCTCCAGCAGCACCTCGGCTAAGCCAGATGAATTTTTGGCAGGAACCCTTCCTCCTCCCTTCGCTAGCGGTCAGCACACACTTCGCTGAAGCCTAATGCAGGCTGCTCGACACGGGGCTAGAAACCCCCTGGGTGCTCAGAAGTGCCACGCCACATTTCCCAGCGCCTAATGATGAGAGCTGGCCAACAAAACACGACAAAGAGCTGGCTGGATCCATAGGGTGAGGATATTTAATGTATTGCCCGCGCTAAATGCCTAGCGGCAGGGTCTGAGCTGACCTCTGCAATGGCCAGAGCTGCAGAAATGAGCTTGTTCCCTCCACTTTCCTGCCTCCATCCCAACGGGATGCCTAGGATGTGCTTTGCTCAGTTTTAAATAAGGGTAGTGCAAAGCAGGGCTCTTGGTCTCTGACCTCGCATTTTTTGGAGGGGTTGGAGAAATGGGGTGAAAAATTTCAGTGCTGCAAAGCCCCACCTGCTAAAACCTCATTATTTGTATTCTGTGTGTATTCTGCGTGTACTCTGCATTTTCTCTGTTTGCACACATTTATATTAGGCTTTAATAGGCTTCACTGAAGTATTTTCAGGTTCTACAGGAAAACAAAATGCCAAAGGAAGCCTAAAATGCTGGGTTCCTAATGTTCTTGTTCAGATTTCAGCTTTTTAGATAGCACATCAAAAAGGAACATAATGAAGCTGCTATTATTACTAATGTCTTCCACATTATCTGAGTTGCAGGGAACAATTAAATGACATAAATGACGCGCTGCTACACTTGGGTACACCGCCAAACTGCGGCTCGATTCACCTTCTCTCCTCTCCTTCTGCTCTTCCCGTCAGCAGGCAAGGCACAGCCAGTTTGCTCGGCTTCCTGTGAAATTCAAATCAAAGAAAACTCCAAATGTTCCAAGCTCCTTTCAGAAAAATAAAATAAAACGAGTGCCAAAAACGACAGCTTCCAGAGGCTTTTGCCCCTTAGCAGCAGCAGCCCCTTGATGCCTCCGGTGCAGGGCAAACTGCACAGCATCTCCCTGGGCTAGGAAGGACTCACCCCGCACCCAGCTGCCTGCCGGCTGCAGAAGAGCCCAGTAGGTCGCCTCAGTTCTCTGTCCCAGCCTTTGTGAGCCACACTCTTCAATCACCTCCCCCTTACCAAGATAGCCCTCGCTCCACACCCCCCGCTTGCCAGACTTCTATCAAAAAGAGCCGTGTGTGGTTCCCGAGCTTCCGACCCAAGGTTTTGCAGCCCTCTGGATTGGCACTGGATGGTGCTGTCCTGCTCTGTGAGGCACTGGTTATGTGCTCCATGAGGACTTTGTGGGGCTTGGGCTGCACGGCTTGGCACAAGCAGCAGGCTCAGCCTTGCCGAAAGCTGTGCAGCACGCAGGGATGCTGAGCCCAAACACACAGTGAAATGTCCAGGTAATGCTGCCCTGGCACCAGGATTAGCAAGTGGCACTCGTGTTGTGGCTGGAACAGCCAGGAGAAAGCATCTGCTTGAGCTAGGAAAGACACACAATGCCTCTGAAGCTGTCAAATGGTTTTTGCCATGTATTGTGAAGTTCTAGACGTGCTATTTCAAAAAAAAAACATGTTCTACCTGCACACCAGGGCAAGCAGTGTGAGCATGGGCATAGCTTCAGCAGCCTTGCACTTAAAGGGTCTGTGATTTGGTGAATCTGCAAAACTTGGAAACCCTCAGCCTGCAACCCCATCTTTGTGCAAGCTGCCAGCGCTGTTTTGGGTCTATAACCTTGTGTCTTCTTCACTGAGCTTCCTCCTCCACCTGCCTCTGAACGAGGAGGACTGGGGTGGGAGGAGGGTCCTGAGCAAGGAAAGCAGCTGGCAGGCGTTGGGTTGATGCTGCTCAGAAAATTATAAAGGGCACAAGTGGAGTAATCACTGCAGGTGGTGTGAGGTGGTTGGGAGATGTTTTGGTGGTAAAGAGCTTGTGGGGCTCAGAGAAACAGCACTCACAGTGAGGATGGATCTCCAGGGGCTTCATAGAGACAGGTAAGGTAAAAAAAGAGCTTATAGTTGTTTTTTTCTAAGTGCCTGGATAGTGGGGAATGTCTGACAGATTCAGCTTTGGTATGATAATGGGTGAGTGGTTTGTGCCTTCCAGTGCCAGCAGAGCAGGATGTGAGGGGGCAACAGGAGCTCTGTGCCTGGTCTTTGGTTTTGTATCTGCTGTCAGGGGCATCAGTGTTCCCTTTGAACTCCCTAAGTTTGAAATACTTGGGTATTGTGTGGCTGAGTGCAGTGATGGCAATTTAGGGAGTGAGCACAGGGTGTGTTGGGCCAGTCTTCATGTGGATATGGACCTGCATTACCTTGTTATGGGTGTTATTGCAAGTGGAGCAGGGAATTGATATGTCTTGAGCGCTGTGCTCTGTATTTGACATCTAACATGTTTTTTTGAGCTGTCTTGTGTGCGTGTGGGCATTCAGTCTCACAAAAGGCTCTTGCCTGTTTGCTTTCTCGCTAATGAGATATTCTCACTCATTTCTTTGTTACGCCAGCTCTAATTTCAAACTCTTTGACATGAGCAACCATTTTTCTATGAAAGGCTGAGATCATGTGGCAGGATTATAAATTTACTCCTGAAATGTCCCATTAATAAATGATAAAGTGTTTATAAATATGCAAAATAGATTATTAGTCAATTCTACAAAATCTTGGCTACAGGAGCATAAAAGTGTGCCCTGCAGCTTGTATATCTATTATAAAAAAGAAAGAAACTGTAAAGAAATTCAGGCTTCCTTTTTAACTTCTAAGCAGCGAGTGCTGAATAATTTACTTCTGATAGCGATTATGTTAAAAGCAAATCATTTGTTTCCTTGAACAGTAGCAAACAATGTGCTGTAAATATGTGATTTTAAAAATATTACATATACACAGAGGGACAAAGCAAGCTGTACGTTTGAACAGCTCATTAAATAGCAGCTCTTCAGCACAAGCCTCACCCAGGTCCATAGGTACCCTGGGCAGTACTATCATTTTATTTAAGCTTAGCAGGCTTCGGAAATGTTAATCCTGCATAAATAGACTTGACTTTTAACTACAGGAGCTCAGGCTGGAGGGTTGGTTTAAGTCCGTTTTGATTTTGCTCATTATTGAGGCAAAGAGTGATCCAGGAGCGTGTGTTGGTGACGTGGCTGTGCAATGCAGGCCAGAAACATGGAGGGCACAGGTTGTGATGAGTCTGGGCCTCTTGGCTTAGCACAGCCTCTGCACCCCGGGCCTGCCAGCTCTGTACCCAAATCCTGTGGCAGTTTGGGGCTGGGTTATTAAATGGCTGGCCTACGTCGTGGGTTGGATGTTTGCTGTCTCCTGTTGTACAGGCCAGGCTTGCGGATTTTGTTGGCTGCTGGGTTTGTGCCCTTGGGCTAGCCCTGGGCCTTAGATGGTCCTGAGGGCCTCAGGAGCTTTCCCGTTGCACCCCAGCCTTGTCATTTGGTTGTTGCAGCTGGATTTTGGCTTCCTACTCCAAAAGAACCAGCCTGGTCTCTCTTTTGCTGTTGCTTTATCCAGTAGGGCCTTGCTAGCATGGTCTGATCCCCTCCTCCCCTGAAAAAATCTACCAGATCAAGAATTGAAAAGGAGAAATTGCTGAAGTAGCCTATTTTTCCTATGTACCTGAGAAACTACTTAACACCCCCGGGATCTGCACCTCAGAAGTCCTTAAGCAAGGAGAGGGATGGAGCTGGGTGATTTCAGACGCTGTCCAGAAGGCACTGCTGAGACAGCTGCTGACAGCCAGACAGAAATGAAGTGGGGAAATGTCAAATGTTCTTGACCTGAGCTAAACCTTTATGAATTGAGGGCAGGAGAAGAGAAAAGTGTCTGTAAAGAGCTTCTTTTCAGCTAAATATATTTGTACCAGGGCAGAGGTAGTCTGGAAACTGATGGCAGCAGGGGAGGGGAACAGCTTGAGGGTGAAAGCTTTAGAAGTGATGCCTCAAGGAACTGAAGACGATTTGAAGCATTTTATTTATCTCAGCTTATCAGCAGCACTGTGATTATTCTGGGCTGGCATCAGGGCTGATGAGGAACAGCTACATCAACCCAGGCCCCCTCGTATCTCTTCTAACAGACTCAGGGCAGCAAAAACACACATTACCTGGCGAGAAACACAGCCCTGAAATTCCCAGCTGAGCACATAATGTGAGCAGGGCCAGCAAGTCTGGAGGAGAGAGTCCCACTTCTGCCCTCTTATAGCCCAGAGCGAGTTGCTCTCCCATCTGTATGTAAATGGCAATGCTGCCCCAGTTGTTTCACTGGTTTTCGGCTGTGGTGGAGTCCCCAGAGATGCTCTGTGCTGCCTGATGCAGGTCAGAGCAGGCGGATGGACTGGCTCATTTGGCTTCTGGAATTTATAAAGGGGGAAATGGTGCTGAGCAGGTACCTGCTGAACTGTGGCTAGGCCAGAATAACAATGTGGACCTCGCCTTGAATTATTTAGGAAGAGCCAGTGTAAGAAACCCAGAGGAGCTGGGATGAGCTTTAAGTAGATGATATGCATTACCCTTCATATAACAGCTTTAAAATGAATCGTACTGGCTGGAATGCTGCAGTAGGTTATCTAATCTTTATCCCTCCTCATCTTTCAAATCCACAATCCCCCTTCTGCATGCTGCAGAGCTCAAACTCTGGCCAGGGGAACCTTGTTCTTGCTTCACATGCACACCCACAGGATCCCTCCATCACAGGGAAGGATGGAGTAAGCGGAAGGGAATGCTCAGGGCAGCCTTTGAAGGCTGGTGTTTCAGGCTGAGGGCTGTTCCAGACTAGAGGTTAAGCATGCAGGTAGAAGCTGGGGAGCAAAGGCTCCTGCTCCAGGGCTGGGAGCTTGCCCTGCTTTGCAAGCTGCCCATGCACCACCTCCAGCACCCTTGCCCAAGCCCCAGGACCTGCCTTCTCACAGCCAAAGCACGTTCACCCCAGTGCTGTCTAAAGGCTCTCTGCACCAAAGGCTGTGGGCACTCAGCAAGCAGAGGAACAAGTGAACACTATCCCTTATGAGAAGGAAGCAGGAGGGGAGCGAAAAGCCTCAAAACCAACTTTATGCCTCATAAGACATCAAGAAATACATCTGGATTTTTAAGGCTGTTTGCTTTTTAGCTATAAAAGCAATGGTCACTCCTTCCATACTGTTTCCTTAATTGGAAGAGTTGTTTTTCATGAGATGGAAGTGCTGCTTTGAATTAAACTCAGCTCATTGAACATGCCCTGAGCAAACAGTCGCTAGAAAAGCAACCCAAGTAGGAACTTGGTTGGTTGAGCTCAGAGGAGCGAATGTCTGCTAGAAACCAGAGCTAGTTTCTGGTCTCTTAGAAATTGGTAATTGCCAGGTGATAGGGAGATGAACTGTCTTCAGCGATGTTTTTGTGCAGCCTAGTTACAGACTACTTGGTCTTAAGCAATTAGAGCTATTCCTGTTTCCTTCTCTAATAGAGCTCATTGTCAGGCATAATTCAGCTCGTCTCAGAGCTAAGCTAATGTCTCTTTGATAGCACTTGCCAAACATCACTGACAATTTTGTAGTTATCGGTATCAAGGCATCCAAAGATCACTGCCACTAACAGACATGAGAGAGGCAACCCCTCCCTTTTCCAGAGTTAAAGCACGTATTTGACAGATTTATTTGGTTAACCTCTCACTGCCCTTACTAGCAACCCCTGTCTACAGCAAAAGCTTGTAGGAAGGTGGCAACAGCCACGTACACAAGAGGGAAGGTCATGTTATATCCTGGCCCATGCAGACTCTTGTAGAAATCAAAGAAATAACCCTGCAATATGACTCATTAAAAAAAGTAGTATCTGAGGACTTGTCTGAGATGATCTTTGTTGTGCAAGGACTTAAGTTACAGCTCCCAGTTTCTCCTGCCTCAGAATTCAGAGGGGTTAAAATCAGTCCTCCCTTTCTTCCCAGAGCCCCAGCTGCAATCGTCTTCATCAAGCTCCAGCTTTTCAGCTCTTATCTAATAAATTATACCAGAATTTTGGTCATTTGCTCATCTTCCACTTGAGTTCTCATCAGAAAGGCAAGCACACACAGACTGCAGCTGCTGCTTTTCAGTCCGTGGTATCTTCACTGCTGCAGCCTCCCCTAAGGAAGGGCTCTGGTCCTATTCAGCCACAGCTGGCTTAGGTTGGTGCTGTCTTGGTGGGTCTTGAACTTCCTACGAAGACCCGCGATGCTGTACAACAGCTGGCTCGTGGCTGAGGCCCAACTGCATTTTGAGATGTTCAATTTAGCTTTGCTTTGGCAGTACGTAACTGAGAAGGCACTGGCTGGACAGCTGCTGCCCTTTGTCTGCTGAAAAGGCGCTGACTTACTCTCTCTTCTCAAAAGAGACACGAGGACACCACGGCAGGAGCACTCATGGGGGAGAGGAGAGAGGCAGAGCTGACTGATGCAGGGGGCACTGGATCAGTCTGTCCTGTCTCATGTCACCTAAAACAGGGCAGGAGAAAAATGGTCTTCAGAGGACTCAGGCATAGCGCTGTGAGTGTAACACCCCTGCCGTTCCTCACTTTGCCCTAATCATTCCCTAGCTCTTCAGCTTACCATGCCCTGAGAGCCCCAAGGCAGGGCTGTTTCAGAGCCTGGGAACTCAGGCACGTGATGGAGCTGGAGGAACTCTGCTCACTGCTGTGGTTAGGTCTGGCCACCCCAGCGAGGTGACACTCAGTTCACTCTGCCTGGCTTGTGGTCTGGGACAGCAGGGCTGCGGTTTGTGGGCTAGATGGCCCTTAATTTGGCTGTAACTGGCAGTATGGATAGGCGTCCTAGTGCAGAGGCTTTGTCTTTTGAATCTCGTGTGTCAGCCTAGCTTACTGATGAGGACTTTGCAGGACTGAACATACATGTAGTTCTCTTCCATGCTACCAAAACCAATTTCTCTTGTCATGGCCTGGTTCAGGGTCACTGGCCTCTCAGCTCTTCGCAACAAGGCATCATGCATCCCTTAAAATCACCAAACAAGCCCTTTCCTATTCCCCCCCTGAAAGTAACACACAGCACAAGGAGGGTTTTCAAGAACATGTTTAATGATGGCAGTTTCTACTGAAACGTGAGATGTCCATTCAAACTTGTCCTACCATTTTTCTTATAAAAAAAAAAGCTTTGGTCACAATGACAAATTATCTTATACATATTTTAAAACAAAGTTCAAGCGATTACACAAAACACATGGTCCTGATAACTCCTCACACAAAACCTGCAGCAGCAGAAACTCATTGAACAAAAGAAATACAATCTTAACAACTACAACATGCTGCCCTGCAGAGATTATACCATGTACAGTGATTTAGAGGGAACAGTTAACAAAGTGTTCAAATGCATTAGCTCTTGTGTGTTCATTAGACTTCCACAAGTCATTTTGGGCTTATGATAAGCATTGACCTCTGCACAAGTCAGTGTGCTGAACAAGTGCTTGCAGCCATCTCTACACCATCGAGGGGGGGGGGAAAAAACCACAAACCTACTTGTGCACTTCTGCCTTAATTCTGCAGGCAAGCATGGCATGCAACTTCTGGCTTCTCAAATGTAACCTGCACTGCCAGGGCTGCTGGAGTAAAGAAGCTGCAGTTCTGCACAGGGCTTTTCTCCACAGCACAGCATGCACAAAGAGGAAAGCTTCTAATTTGCGTGCTCTGTTTGCCTCTGCTACTAGTCAGTGGATTTTGTAAGCAGCGAGCGAGCTGCAGGCAGACATCTATAATAATGTTTCTCTTTTCATTTTCTGTAACAAAAAAAATGCCTTTAAAAATGCTCTTGAACAAAGAAAGCTTGGCTAAGCAACACAAAATAGCAGCAAATACTAAGACATTACAATCACAATCAGATTAAATCTGCAGTGTAAAATACACAAACGTTAAGGTAAAACATTCATGTAGTGGTTAATGGCTAATTCTTCTCTGATGAACTCCTAGACCTACCCGAACAAAACAGTCCAAATTATTAAAATTATGTTTTAAACGAATTCCTAGCATTAAAAAAATATTCATATATATACTATTAGATGAGTCACATCAAGTGCTCTTAAAATCTTAACTAAATATAACTATAGAATATTTAACTAGACACTTTAAATCACATACAGCAACTTCTGTAGAGGTAAACATTGCCTCACATTTGCAACAGCAACTGAGTATCAAACAAAGCATTCAGGTTATGTTCATGACCATGAGCAACCGGTGAGGCTGGCCTTTTATTTCCACCAGGCAGCTGCTGCTTCCTCCCAAGCACTCAATAGCTCATGGCACAGGGGTTGGGACCCCCGAGGAGCCAGCTGGGCAGCTCCATCCCCCAGCATCTTACGTACTTGATCCCCATCCACCAGCAAGACTCGGCCCCGTTACAGAATAAGGGATTTTCAGCCACAAGCAAGCAGAGCAGATGTTCTTTGCCAGAGTAACTCAGCAAATGACCTAAAGTTGGTGGAAAATCTCATTTTAAGAACTGGCTTACCCTTGGAAGTACCCTTCCGTGCATCTTTACCTCTCAGTTCTCTCCTAGGTAACTTGGTCTTGCCTCTCATGCTAAGAGGATTTATTCCCTCTCTCCCCACCTCTTCTGGAATGCCTGGTGCTCAGCTGGATGCCTTTGGCAGAACCATGGGCATGAACATGTTGCTGTGGTGTCTGCTCAGGCAGCACAGCCACCTGGCTCCATCACCTGCAAATGCAACCAGGAGCTTCTAACCCAGCCTTTCTCTCAGCATCGCCACTTCTTTGACTTCAAAAGGGCTGTCTTGGATCAGTTCCTGATCCTCAAAGTATTTTAGTCCTGAAGGAATGCAATATTTCCTACAGAATCATCCAGCCTAAATCTGAAACCTGTCTTACCAAGGTGGGGAAAAGATCCCCGGCTTTCATCTCAACCTGCAGCATCGTTCAACCTACTGGTCCCTGCAACTTCCACCAGCCAGGAGACAACTTGCTCAGCCCCAGCATCAGTTCTTCCACTCCCACCGTAGTAGCTGACATGTTAAATATTGCTTAGTAACAGTAACGTGGAATGACTCAAATTCATTCCATGAATGAAAATAACAAAGCATTTTTATATTGCCTTGATGACTAACGTTAACACAACAGTCTGCTGTGGGATTTTTCCATCCCGGCTGAGAGGGCTGTTTGCGAAGCCTTTGCTGAGTCACAGTTAGGGAAAGCAAGCGATGGCATGGGAGCTGCTCTGAGGAAAGCACAAGGCTGCTGGGGAAAAAAAAAATTCCCTTCACCTCCTTTTACTGACTGCAGGGCCCAAGGGAACCATGCAGAACTAGCGTAGGTTGTGGTATCATGACGAAGCAGTTTAGTGTTCTCAGCGATACTCGGATTGCGAAAAAAGGAGAAAAAAAAAAGCGACTCACTGCAGTCTCCTTGAAGGGTTGTAACTGGAGGAGGAGGTGGTCAAGCAAACAGCGGGACAATCCTAAAACAATTAGAAAATGCACAGTCCTGACAAAAAGTTTCAGCCAGCTTCAAGCCCAAAGGAAGAAGGTGTTAAGGGGTGCAGCAAACAGTAAACATGCCAAAGAGGAGCCTGAGCTGCATCTGTGGTTACTTTAAAGGAAAACCGCAAAGTAAAGAAACTAAACCAGTTAGGTCTGCCCTTTCTGACAGCCTGAAAAGTACACATTCCTGCGGTTTCCTAAACCCAATCCATCCAGATGCAGCTATCTAATTCTCGTAATGCCATCCCACAGCTCTGACCTCTGCAGCATGAAGCATAGCAGGGAGTAATGGCTAAAAATGCGTCCTTGAGTTTAATGGGATTTGTCAAGCAGGTGGTAGGGGAAAACTTCCAGTTTGATACAGATTAAGATCACTTACACAAAGCTTCCATGAAGAATAAGTAGTGTTCTTTCTGCAATCTAATCGTTTCACACGAGGACTTACTTTGCTTAGAAAAAAAGTAATATAGATGATTGGTAGACAAGTTACAGTAAGCACAGGACACGGAGCAGTACAAAACGCCTTTAGTCCCTGTGGAAGGGCAGAAAATTACAAAAATATATCTTCTTTAATCCAAGACTGTTGTGGTTTAGGGCATGCCTGATTCTTCCTATTTCCCTGTGGTCTCATTTATTGAAGTTGGTCTGGTCAGAGCTCCTTGGGACAATGAGACTGTCACTATGAAAGCTTAGTGCAATAGTTTTTGCTCTAAAAAAAAAAAAAAATCAGTAGCAAGTCAAAAAAAATGTTCTGCATAAGTCAACCTTTCACCCCCTTCCCCCCAAAACCCTACACTAAACATAGTGTGGTATTTCAGCATGGATTACTTGCATTTTTATCACCTCAAGTCATAAGACACTTCTGTAAGGCCCAGAAAAAACATCCTTCCTAATTTTTGAACATGTGATCTGTTTTACCGTGACCAAAGTTTAACAGCGACTGCAGTACTGAATTGGGATTTTAGAAAATAAGTCCTTGGGGGCAGCTTGATTCAATCTTCCTTTTCTTCTTTCTTCTGCAAAATTTCATTAGACCGTAATGAGCTGCAAGTCAGTACGTGGGGCTGCACCTTGTCATGCTTTAGTGACACAGCAGTCCTCTGAAGCAAGAGACAGATGAGTTTGCAAGGAGGAACTCCAGTCATTCCAACATAGTAGTTGAGAAACCAGGAAACCAAAGGGCGATGTTTTGGTCAGAAGATCCATAGCCTGCTGTACGAACAGCACCTCGAGGAGGTGAGGCTTGGTTTGGTTTTAACGCTGCAGAGATGAAAGCCTCCCCTTTCACAGTTATGGCTTCAGCAGGTCCCTCGAGAGCAGGATGACATCTGGCAGGGCACCAGTGCTCCACACAACTGCTCTACCTGGAAAGCAGGAAGAATTAGTACAGTTGCAGAAGATTGGCAATTAAATAGCTGACAGAGATGAGAACTGATGTGCACAGTGGGGGGAAAAAAAAACAAAGTCACAAAGGTAGTGTTATTTGCTCTGATTGCTATCAGTTCCCTCCAGCAGCTGATTTCCATGGTGACACTGGACACAGAGATGAGGTTATTGCTATGCCAGGAGAAGCTAGACCAAGCAAAGAAAAAAGTAGTTAAATCAGACACAGCCCAGACACTGAAAGGTCCTGTGGCCAGCCCCTGAACAGAATAGAGAAGGGAGTGTGTACACAACAGGAGGGCACTGCAGGGCCAGAACATCTCAGATCCCACACCAATGCAACCCCTTGCTAACCAAGGCATGTGGACTGTCTTCTTTGCAATGGCTTCTCTTCCTCACACCCCTTGATTGTTTCAGAATTTAAAAAGTCATACTAGGAACTTAGTATACTCTATTGAATGTGGCAAATGTCTTTGCATAGGACTGCACTGCCTGGGTATAGCCTGAACTAGCCACCAGGACATGGTGTGCTCTGTAGCAACCAGTATGGCAGAATGAAGAAAGAAACTGCCCTTCAAAAAATGACACAAACTGCTTTTTGACCACATCTTTTCTCCCCTGCTGCAGATCCCCAGGAAATCATAAACAGCAACACCAAAGCGTTGGCAATTTGCTGTATTTATAGCGAGTGGCTGACTGAGTTAGTGATTTGCACCCCCTTCAGATGAGGATAAATGATACCCCTCCATTTGTACACAACCTGTCACTGCTGGGAGGAAAAAAATTAAGCTGCTACAAACCCCAGCGCAATTCACCTAGCATCATCCAGAAAGGCCTGCGGCTTCCACTTGCCAAAAATCCATTACAGCTGCTCCCTTAGGAGCATACACCTTGCTTTAACAAGCAGACAATGCCCTGCTCCATTCAGAGCTGCACACACAGTTAGGATCTGGAGAGGCCGTAGTCAAAGCGAAGACGCCAATATTGTAGCTCGTATTTCACGGAGAGTCTCCCAACAGACTCCAGCACATCAAAAGCTGAGCCCTGCGACTGTGATGAAGATGTAGTCACAGGGTTCAGTGCTATCAGTGCCTGAAAAAGGGGAATCCAAAATGCATTGCACCAGCCCTTAGATGTGGTACTTCTTTACTCTCCGATGTTCTGCAAGCTCTCAAAAGCCCTTTATTCCAATGATGGCTGAGTAAATGTTATTGTCCTCTTCCCTCTGCCTGCTACCACTCCTTCCCCATAAATCTCTTGGCTTTCAGGAGATCTGTGGAAGATACATTCCTAAAATGCTTCTGTGTTTTGCTGGTGGTGCTGCTGCTGGAAGGCAGCATGATAATCCATGTGGAAAACAAGCTGAGGAATTTCACTGAGCTGACAGGAAGGACAGAGGCCTCAATCTGCCCCAAGAAAAACTTGTGGCTTTCTTTCAGTGCTTATTTCGGAGTCTGACATCTGGGTTGGGAAAATTCCAGCTCTGGTATTTAAATTCCGAGCTTCTTCCTCAACTCTGGGCTCTCACGTGGCGCAGCTCACCCTGGACTCAGTGCTCTGCAGGGACGGTTGTGAAATTGGCCCAACGAGTGTGGTGAGAGCAGGATGCCCTGCTCCAACCAGCCCTGCCTCAGCAGGGAGAGGAGATGCTGGGAGCCCAGGTTACTGAGGTGCTTTCAAAGCCTCTCATGTACAAGGCACCACAGAATTTATTCAGTGCTTGGCTTTCATTTTCTATTGAAACTGACAAGAAATCCCCCAATGAGCTACAGCAGAGTTAATAAGCTTAATAAGCTAACAATTGTCGTTACCTTTTCAGAAACTGCTTTTTTCTTTTTGCAACTGTTTTAATTTCTTTTTCTTGTAGTATGTGGAGCACTCTGCCTGTACTGTGATGGGGGACGGATGCTAGCACCAGCTTGCTGGGGGTGTTTGCCTTTACTTTGCTTCCCAAGTACCACGCAGTGCCAGCTATCTGATCAGTCAGTGGCTTAGCACCAGCAGGCAGCAGACCATGAAACCTGAGCGACTTTCAGGACTTTCAGGAAGGTGAGGGAGAGGTGCTGAAGTAGAAAACAGGAGAGGAAAGTTTTAAAATCGAGATCTATTGGTGGGATAACAAGAAGCACACTTGGAGGATGGGATTTAGCTTTCCATCTAACTCATCTTCCAAGATGTGCAGCAAGTGTGATCCCATCATAAGATGAGACAATACCTGACAGCTGGGCAGTGGTGGCCAGTTCACATTGTCCAAAATCAATCGGACAGGGACATCGTCCAAAAATCAGTCAGACAAGGATACCTTTTGTCCTTAGGCAGCAAAGGCTGAATTGGTGATCAAGAAACAAACAGTCCATATTCAATTTACTCTCTCTTAGTATAGCTCTATAATAATTTTAGAATAATTCCTCAACTTTTTATCCTAATGCCTCTTCCAAAACCAGAACAAATACATAGAAAACCATCCTCCATATTGAAAAACTGTTCACACAAAGCTTTTCAAGGTGTTAATATCTTAGTGATTTGGCACCTTTGCTCTGTGACAATCTCTGATTTACACCTTCAGCCTCCTGTCACACACAGGTTGTGCTCTCGGGATTAGAGAAGCCATTGACAGAACCGTTTCCCTGAGACTGCGGTGAGATTGCAGAAGGGGCATCTAACCCGGCACACACAAGCTCCTGTGTTTGCCAGAGGCAGGCAGAGGGTGTCTTTTGCATCCCCAGAAAGGGCTGTGTTTGGTTAAGCTTTTGAAGTGACTCATTAGCCAGCTTCAGGGAGGGAAGTGGTTATTCCTAAGTGCTCCACAAACCCAGGGGGGTGGGATCTAGTGGGAGCCCAAAGCCTCAAAGTCTCCCAAAATAAATGTGACAACCTTCATCCAGCAGCCCACTTCATGCTGCTTGCTGTTCTTTGCTGCCTCACGTAAGGCTGGAAACAAATACATGCAAGGAAAGAAAATTAACTGCACGAGAACAATTGGAGAGGTGTATGTGCGGCTTCTCCCCCGGTGCTGCCAGACGCCAACTGCCTTTTAATTAGTGCTGTTTGCATCGTGTGGGGGAGACGGCGCAGAATCTTAATTACTCCCCCAAACACAGATCCAAACGTCAGTGCAGACCTTTCAACAAGGTGGGGGGACCCCAGAAAAAACAGCCCAGAGTCTACCTGCGTAATCCTCAGCAAAGACTTGTGCTACAAACACAAAGCTCTCTCCGAGCTGTGTGTCAGTCAGCAGTGTGCTAATACTGGGGTAACTTAATATTTGTACAGGAGGCACCTGGTGGCATGGTACTCTGAGGTCAGCTCTTCAGACTTCCAGCTCTTTCAGATATATTATTTTTCTTGCCATGCTGGTGGCAGTCCTGTGGATCTGAAGGCACGTAGCTGTCTCACAGCCCATGTGAGTAACACTTAAGCTGAATAATGCTCGGAGTTATCACAGCCAATATGGCCCTACTGCATCAGGTGCTGGCAAATTCATTCCCTTTCCGCTGAACTCTCAGGTTTTCTCAAAAGTCTGTACTTTAAAAATACTTTTGGTGCTTTTTTAGCAGAAAGCACTGAGCAAAGTCAATTGCAAGTCACAACTTTCTGGGGAATGGATGATTTTTCCCATGGTTTCACAGCTTTAAATCAACAATGAACAGCTCAAAAGACTGCAGCTAATTTCATATGATATTCTGGAGCCAGGGAGACTGAAAATTATAGGTCTATATAGTGACTACAGAAAGTTGGCTTCTGCTCTAGGTATGACAGCACATATGTTACAGGATTGAATGAAACGTAGTCCAGCCAACGGGCTTATCTTTCACTACCAGTGTGTCACAAAGAAATAATTAAAAAAAAAAAAATCAGAATGACAGCTCTTGGTCAGCCATGGCACTGCACCAGTGGATCCTTACCTTACACAGGGCTGCACGAGGTCTGCCCTCTCTGAAAGCAACCCCAGTATCACCAAAGCACTGTATACGAAGCAGCACCTTGCCAAAATCCCCACGCCAAGAGTTGGTAACACAGGCCAGAAGTCTGTTGTACCACTGACGAAGTGAGCTCTGCTGCTGGGAGGCTGATTGAATAAACCCAAACAGCCGCCACCACTGGTACTGACTGCTGGCAGGGAGGCACCTTCATCTGAATACAAAACTGAACGCATAAAAAAGAGACCACGCTATTTTCTAGCCTGTGGGTACCTGCCACGAGGCACCTGTCACTCCCCTGTCCTCTTCACAACTGCTTCCAGGTTGCTGCAGCTCATTACACGCTGCTTTAGTTCAGCTAACAAGCTGAAACAGCAGTATCATCCTATTCCTTATGCATCAGCCCTGGTGACACCCCTGCGAGCTCACCTGATGTGTCTGCATTTTTTTTTCTTTGAGATAATAGGAAGCAGTTTTCCTGATGCAGCAATTAGCAAAGGCTCCCTTAAAACTGTAGGCTCTTGCTGAACATCCAAATCCACCCTATCGCTCTAGTCATGTGGCCACCTGTGTGCATTTACAACTCCTATCAACCACAGAGAAATAAGGATACCTTCCTTGCTCTGTCTTGCTGGCAACTGCCTCCAGCTGCAAAAAAACAAAGGAAGCCTTAGGTGGCACAGGGTAGCTATTTTTCTTCAAGGGGTTGAAGGGAACCCAATCTCTACCATGTCTCCTGTTAATTCACCAACGTACTGAGGGCACAAGTGAGATGCTTGCTTCCCATCTCAACACAAGTGCCTACAAAGAACCTCTTGACTGGTTTACTGGGGATGTCGGTGGTCAAACTCAGCAATTCAAATTTGCAAAGAAGAGCCTTTACTGGTGACAGGAGCCATTTAGAGATGCACTCTCTGAGAGGCACAAAGGGAGCAGGTAGCTTGATACTCTTTACAGCAAATGTATCCTCAAAGAAGCTTTCCCTTGCTTAGTTCTGCAAAGGGGATGTCTGTAAAATAATATTCCCCTCTACACTGGGGTAGCTCTGTTTGAGCTAAAAATTCTATGCCTATTAAAGCAAGGACTTCAGAAAAAGTGGAATTTAATAGCTGTTGTAGGGTGGCGGAAAGGAGGAACTCCCACAGATGAAGAGAGGACAAGCTGGCTAAAAATCAACCCCCCCCTATTGTTTCTGAACAGAGCATCACACAAGGTGAAAAGCCATTTGTACAGCTAAGGAACCCACAAGGACTGAATAGCTTTTTGGGAGAGCATCAGTACAGCAGGTGCTCCAGGGGAGCAGTCAGATAATATGACTTCAGCTCTCATGAGTCAGACGTTTTCCAGCAAGCTCTCCTTTGTTCATCCAGTATTTTACTATTGGACACCTTATCCTGAAGCAGTGCCATGACTGATAGCCTTCTGTTCTCTGTCTTTGGAAAATCCCTCTGATCTCACTTGTTCATAGAGAAAGCACTGAGTTATTTCCACTTAGCTAAGAGGAAGAGGAGCAGGAGAAACAGGCTGGTAAAGTAGGTCATGGTGAGACAGATGTCTTCAGGTTTAACAAAGCCCAGGCCCAACAAGCTGCCTTGAAATGGCACAACCTGAAATCATTAGTGTAAATACAGGGCAGCTAGAGGGAACGGCAACAGGTAGGCAAGGACTGACAGGCACCTTCTAATTCAGGAATTGATTATTTACACAAAGTGGCACAACTCACACCCTTCATTGTTTCACAGCTTCCAACTTTTTTTATGGAAATAATGCAGTTATTTTGAAGATGACCAGCAGAACATGTGCCAGGATGTGTTTTAGATGCTGGCGTGTAAGTGCTTAGAGAATACATTGTTATTCCCCCTTTCCAAACTTAAGAGATGGGCAACATGAGTAAAGCCTGTAAGCTCTCCAGTTAGGACTTGTCAAGATCTGCATTTTTATAATTAGAAGAGCTTATTTCAGCCAAAGAGAGACAGATTTTGAGAGTAGGCCATATTTGGATGAGAATGCAACTCGAGTGCTATAGATGGTTTGATGCAAATAAAAATAAGAGGTGCAGATACCCTCGTGCCATAAATCAATGTGCAGCATCTCCATGTGCTGAATGGTTGCTATAAATCTCCGGCCCAGAATAGGTACCCAAAACTTTGGGTTGTCACACCACTTCTGTCTTAAAAGAGCAAACACATTTAGGGAAAGTTCTCCCCAGCTTACTGCAATGGCAGCACCTGGCAAAGCAGCCCCTGACAGTGAGTCCTCCACCTAGAGCGTGTGTAGGCACTGAGGAATGATTGCCAACAATTGCCTGAGAGGGGAAGTTCAGTCTTTTAAACCCTGTTAGCTATTTGGGGCACGTGTATCCTATTGTGCCCCTCTGCAAAGCAAAGAAGAGGGCACAGAGAGCCTAGGGGTAGTGATACGGTTATTGTACGAGTGGGAGAGTACAGAGCAGATGTGTGCTGAGAAATCAGGCACTGGAGCTGTAAAGGAGAGTGGTGAGGCTTGGGCAAAGTGAAAGGGAGACTGCGACTGCCTCATCTCTGTCGAGCAGGCCCAGCAGAGAAGAAAGAGCTGTCTGTCCTAATAAGAGCTCAGTGAGCAAGCCTAACTGGACAAGCTCGCAGCAGTACCTGTATTTCACATCAAACACTGTTGAGTCTTCGTCCTCATCGTCTTCTTCATTCAGAGGAGCCATTTCTACCCGCTCAGCTGGAGTGGTGATTATGTCATACTTCCTGGTCTTCTTAATCCTCTTGCCAGACCTGAAACACAAAAGATGGGGAGGGAAGGATCACGTTTATACAGCATTCCCTAAAAAAGCTAAACCTGTCCCCTACAGACACGACCCACCGACAAGTCACTGCTTCAGACCTCCCCAGACACAAAGGCTGTGGAGCCAGCCTGTGTCCCCTCCTGCTGCCTTTCCAGGGCCCCAATTTGTGCCTGTCAGCGTACAGAACAGTTTCTTGTCAAGTGCAATCCAGATCAACGTCAGTCTTTTAGCTGCTGACAATCCGGAGATCCTTTGGCATCCAGGGCCGGCGCAGAGCAGCAGCCCACCGCGTCCTCCTGCTGCCATGCTCAGGAAGCGAGAGACAGCCTTAATCAGCAGCAGCAGCCACTGGTTTGGTGAGCACATCTAAATGAGAACACTCAGGTTAAACCCTACTGAGACGAGGGAATGTTCTAGGCAGGATTATAAGGCGCAAAGGGGTGGTGATATTTGGGTACAGACAGCCTGCTCTTTTCCTTTCTTGATATTGAGCCAAGCTCGAGGCTCCCACAGCAAAAACCTTTAGCCCTGTCTGAGAAGTTCCGTGCTCAGCGCTGTGCAAGCGCTATGAAAAATAATCAGCTCTGATTTGAAGCTAACTGTACCCATCACCTCGCCTCCTGTACACAACAGCCTTATGCTCCTTTGGAAATGGAGATACTCAGGTGCCTGCGTGTCTCAGGGTTTTGTGAGCTCTAATACTTACTTTAAATTAACAAACACTCAGTGCGTGCCTCTTCCACCAGTTCTCCGCCTCTGACTTGAATTGTGCGAGTCCTTTTTCCTTCACCTCCTCCTTTAATGCACATTAGGAGGGTCACACTGCTTATGCAGGGATCCAGTTTCATGATTATACATTTAAGAAGGTGTCGATGTGTACAGCTAGTCTTTGGGGAGGAAAGAGGATGTTTTTGGTTCACAAGCTGCAGAATTCCCCTTTAACCTTTATAAAACAGAACTGGCAACTGCCAAGCATGGAAAGGGCGCTGCTGCAGGTACAAGCAAGCAGCCCCTAATTTCAGGTAATCACAACTACAGAGCAGACAGCACGTCATGAGCGCACTTTCACTGTCAAGAAGTCTTGCCCTGGCACGTCAAGCAAGGCGCGTTGGATTCAGCGCTGCCGCTTTTGCACCAAGAACAGATGCCTTGGAATGAGTTAGCAGCAAGAAGCAAGATGCAGGAATTACAAAAAGACTGGAGACCCGTTTGCATCTGGTCCTACGTCCGCCAGAGCTGACCACAATGTCCTCTTCTTGCCTTATGGTAAAGGAAGTTTAAATCTGTGAGTGCCAAGAGCTTTGATATGAGTCTCACTGCCTCTGCCTTTGGCTGCAAGTCCAAGGCTGAACAAACTGGTCCCAGCCCGTGGGACGGAGCACTTTGCATTTCCTCCCTGTTCCGAAGATGATAGTTGCATTAAAAGCATGAAGACAGACGTCCCCTGTCACCTGATCTTTACAGCAATCTGTGCTGTGGCATCACGGAGCACAGGGTGGTTTGTGCCATTACCGCTGTTGTTGAAACAAGCAATTTTATATCCAGTACAGTAGGACTCTTAACCTAAACACTTGAAAATCCTTTTGAAAACACTTGTCTGTATTATTCGGCTTCTCAGCCAAGACCTAGCAGCAAAATGCTGCAAGCAGGTCTCATCTTACAAGTAATGCGTTGCTTTTACAAGAAACATTTACTCATGCTGTGAAGCATAAACAAAGACTAAAACCAACCGGTGTCTACCTGTCAGAACAAACAAAGCACAGTTTCAGTGTTTTGCCTTGTATCGACGGTCTGCAGTGGGTTTCCGTTGGTTCCCCTATTTAAGAGCCTACCTGCAACAGGCTGAGAGACATCCTTCCTCGTTCCCTTCGTTAGCAAAAACACCTTTATTCTACAGAGTTCATCTTACAACCTTTGTACTGCGGCGTTTGAGGCGATTACTGCAGAATTGCTATCTTTGGAAATGGCAAGCTGGAGCCCTTCAGCCTCCAGCAATTAATTAGTCTATTTGGGCTACGTTTTAAAGAGGACCTGGAGCAGAACTCGCTGCGCAGTGATCTATTAATCCCCCACAGCCCTCACTTAACCGTAGCACTCACTTAGAAAAGGGAAGAAGCTTGTTTGGCTGTTTTTTGGCTAAGCTGCTACAATCGCTTCCTCGCGACAGGCAGGGCAAAAGGGTTTTTCCTTGCCTTTTCTCCCTCCATTAGCTCTACACCGTTCTACCTAGCTAATTTATCATTAATCCGCACTTTTTAGCGGTCGGTCTTCTCTCAGTTGCTCACTGGAACAACTCCCCTAGGCTTCATAAATACCGGAATAATTACCCAAGCTTACTTTAAAGGAAGGCCTCGGGAGCATCCCCATCTGCATGCCAAATCCTGCCACCAACCCATCACGTGTTAAAGCTGACAACCCTCAGCAGGAGCCCTTTAATCATCGGCGACGGCAAGGCAAGAGGCCCAGCACCTCATCCAGCGGCGGGGATCAGGCAGTGGCTTATCTGCAGCAGGCAGCAGAGTCAGCAGAGCGCAGGAAGCCCGGCGTGCAGATGGCTGGGGAACCGCCAGACCTCTCGGGTGGGAGCAGCCAGCATGAGGCCTTGCGGGTATCAAGAGAATCCACGTCCCAGCCACGTCTGTTTGGTGGCATGAGATTTTTTTAGGCAAAGAAGTAGTGCTGGAAGCTGTGGTCAGAGCATGCCTTTTGCATAATGACCAGCTGAAATGCCCCGACTGATTGAGCCTGGATAGGAACGACAGTGGGTACTGCAGCGTGAAAACTGTCTTCTACTTAAAACATGGGGAGAAGTTAGCTGTAGCCAGCTAAATGCTGCTCCCACCAAGACCAACAGACCATGGACTTACCAAGCACAAAGCTTAATGGGGAGGGAATGACAGATAACTGGTAGGACTTGAGGTGGGGGCTTGCTTCCAGGTGTCCCCGAGCTGTCATCCCCGTGCATTCGCACTGCCCCCGGGCCTCCAGCATCTGCCTTGTACGAGCTGTATGCCCCCTCCGTGCAGTGACAGGAGGGCTGGCGGGCAAGGATGGGCTGGGGCAGAACATTGACTGTGTGCCTCTGTATCTTGTCTCGGGGCTGTTTTGGTCAAGCAGCAGTCACATGCAGACCTCCAGCCTCCTTTCCAAGCCATCATACGCTAGGGTAAGCGCCCAAGCCAATTCACTGGTTTGTTATGTAATTTGTGCCTCTAATCTATTTCAGTCGACGACCCCGATATTCAGAGATAATGCTTTTCCTGACACACAGAGAGAGGTCTCTGTGCTCCTCATCTGGCCTTACGCTTCCTGCCAACAGCTGCAGAGGTACAGGACTGCTCCTGGGGAAAACGCAGCCACCCCTCCTTACAGGATGTTTATTGGAAGTCTAATTAAGCCAGCTACAACCTTCCTCCTAGAATTGCAGCAGTGCTGTATTGGGAATGGAACTGGGGCCAGTTTATTTGCTGTAAATGGGCTCCCTTAGCAGTTTAAAAAAAAATATATATATATATATATATGGAAATACAAACCTGGGGAAACTCCAGGCTCATTACGGGCTGATGAATGGGGTCGGCAGTATTTCATTACTTTGATCTGTCTGGGTACCTCTGCTCTCTGGGTGGTGCTGCACATACTGAAGTTAAACCGTGAAGGTTAAGTCCTCACATGCCTTCAGGATACACGTTTTGCCATAGCAAGCTGAAGACACTGAGTTTTCTAGCAAAATCCTTAAGGTGGAATATATGTGGCCCCAAAAGCAAAGGCACCCACTTGCTTAACTGCACAGCCAGTAAGAAGAATCTTAAAGCTGCTGGGAATAACTTCAGGAACATCGAAATGAGATATTGTTGTGGTTCGATGAAGCAACGATGCCTTAAAGTACTCAAAATACAGCCACTCGCATCAGGTGGTCAGTGCTTGTGAACTAGCCTTGTTTTACAGGACAGAGCTACCGAAACTGCGTGATCCACCTAAACTCTTTAAGCCCCTGAATCCTCAAACAAGAAACAGAACTCATTCTGCTGCAGCTGCTCATATCAGAGCTGCAAGGAGCCCAAGACAGTATTAAGTAGAAGCCCTTCTTCCTTCCTTCTGCCAATTTGCTGTCATGCTTAGATCAAGTCCTTCTGGAGACAGGACCCCTGACACCCAGGACAAGTGTCCCATTTGACATTCTTCTCTCTGTGGCCCTCACTGAGCTCCACGCAGCTTAAACGAAGTTTTCAGTGTGGGGTCACGAGTCTGTGTTTGGGATTTTCTTTTTTCTTGCATTTACAGTCATTTTAATGGTGGTAATTCTTTCCTGTCCCTGACAGAGGTCTCTTCTTTGCTGGAGTACTCTAACTGCTTATAATACAATTAGTTTTCAATCAGTCAAACTCGTCGGGGTTAAGCCTTGGACAGCCCAGAGCAATTGCCCAGCTTTTAGAACAACGGGTCTTGTATCCTCCGATCATATGCCTGAACCCCTCTCCTGGATCTCTGTAATTTACACCAGTTTTACAATTACTGGAAAACCCAGCTCAAAGTGGTGTGTGCAGAAGGAATCCAAATGAAACAAGGAGCAACACAACAAAACGTACAGGTAGCTTTTCTCTAAAATTACAGGTAAGTAGCAGCCATTTCAAACACGGGTTTTGTTCATTCAAGGGCAGGTCGAGACACACAGCAAACACTATCACAGACGGTTTTCTGTAATAAAGCTTTGGGTCGCTTTCAGCTGGCACATTTGAGCAGACCTAACTTCTCCAGTTTCCCAGAAGGCGTGTGGTCGGCAGCACATGCGGCCACATCTGAAAAATTATGTTTCCTGGGAGCTGATCCCAAGAATTGCATTACAATGAAATGAACTGCGCTGCACCAGGGTAGAAAAATATGGCAGACTATGGGGTTGGAAAGCCAAGAATCAAAAACACACATCAAAGAGTCCAATTTAACCGCAGGAACTACTCATAAGCTGTTTCAATAAACTGTGTTTCTTGGTAATGCAACTTGCTCAACTCGATTTGATGCAGGATAACGTGAAATTTGGTCTGTTGTTGAAACGGTTTGGGTCGGAGAGCATGCAGCACCAAGGGATGTAGGAGGAATGTCCTGAACTGATTTTGCAAAAAAGAGAGTAATGTATAATTACTGTAGCTAATTAGGCCCTGCCACATACAGACAAGTAGCTGCCCTTTCTGGTCCCTTGTAGCCACAGACAGAGAGGAAATTCAGATCATTTTGGGTAATACCACATTCTGAGTCATAGGACCATCAGATGGATTGAGGGCATAACGCTCCCAAGTGGAGTGACCACAAATCCCTGAAACATCATCGTAACAGAGCTGAAAAGCTATAGAAATAAACCTGTCCCTGTGCTAACAACAACAAACAGTAAGTAATATACACACAAATATATAAAAATGAAATGTATAAAAAGCAAATCCAATACCAGTGACAAATATCTGGCCACTCAATAGTTCATTTCATCTCTACAATCCATATCTAAAAGGATAATTCACTTCCATCAATCCAAAGCAATTTCACAGTGAAGGTTTCATCAAAGATTGGATTCTAGCATAATCTCTTTAATAGGAATCCATGACACTTCAAAAAAAAAAAGAAAAAAAGCAATGTTTTTGACTAAGTACGAACAAAGCTCTGATTCTGAGGGAGAAAAGCTTTACATGTACTGAGGGTAAATCCTTTATCTCTTCTGCAACAGAATCTCCTCCAATCTGTTTTGTCAGCTACAAGTGTGACATGGTACAAACATACCTGTTGGTATTTTTGTCTCATTTCCCAACTGGGATAATTGTTTACAAACAAATGCTCTGACAGATAAAGAAATGTTCTCTGAAGCCGAAAGCTTCATTTCTTGCAGGTTGTACTACAGATATAGGAGATCTCAGAGGGATTTTCTTATAAACGTATCTAAAATGCTACATTAATTCTGACAAGTCGTATAACAATGACTTTGGCGTAGGATCTATCATTCCCAAGGTGACTTTAATATGGAGCTACTTTTGCTGATTATGGTATATGAAAGGTCTTTAAAGGCTATCAGTTTGCATTCTTTGGCTAGAAATAATCAGGTTTATGCCAGGTCCTTGATACAAGGACCTTTACATCCAGAAGAAACTGAGGCAAAGGGTAGAAAGTCTCCAAAATCTGAAAGAACTGAGGCTAGAAATATGCTTTTCATTCTGCACTTTCTTATAGACTTGCTAATTCTAATGTTTGTCTGTGACAACTGGATGAGTCTGGAAAGTGGCTGATACCGATTAAAATAATTCTCTTCAATATTTTACTTGCTTCTCCTGAACCGCCTCGCTTTAATGAGCAAATTTACTTGCATAGTCTTTTGCCAGCTACTGAAATACATAAAAGGAATTTAGTTAAATGTCAATTTCTTTAGAAAAATATCAGTTCTCATCGTTTCAGTCTCTAAGTCTGCATTTTATAATGCTACTGTTATGAGCACTGCCATTCCTAACACGGAATTAATTCAGGAACAGAAGCAGCAGAGAATTCAGCTGCAGCCACCAGGTAAATACAAAGGAGGTGCTGGAGAACAGCACAAGGAAGAATTTGCAAACTCCACTTGTTCAACCGCTTCTGTCACCTGCAACGTGGCGCACACCTCCTCCCAGCCCTGCTTCCTGGAGAGCGAGCTGCTCCAACTTCCCAGGCTCTTTCCTGCTGCCCACACCTAAAAGTCAGATCACTGTTAACTTCTCCAAGTGTGCAATCTTCCACGGCAAAGTTAGGCACAAACAGGCAACAACTTTGTTTGTAAACTGCAAAACGGGAACAGCTTTTAGCACAGCATGGGGACTCTCACCACTACCCTGAGATAAATAATAATTAACACTAACGGTGCCAAATGGAGCTTTAATATACGTTTTTCTTCTGCTTCAGCAACAAGCCAACAGGAAGACGGGTTTTTTGAAGTAATTGAGTTTAATTTGTTCATGTTCCTCGCAGCGGGAGGTGTTCCACAAGTTTCAAGGGCTGCCAGCATAACTCAGGCACACACCAGCACCAACCCACTTGAGCAGAGCAGCTCAATTGTGCTGCTCTGGTTACGCCACGCTCAGAGGACGAGATATGAGCACCAAGCAGATGCAAACCTCTGCCAGGCTTCAAGCTGCTCGCCCGCACTTCTCTCAGCTCTGCAAGCTGCTGGGAATTTTCTCCCCTTTTGCAGTGCGAGTGGGAGCTGGCATCCATCAGCGACCTACCCAGCTGAACACCAGAGTTTGGCTACAGAGCGCTGAGCATCGTTCCAAAGTGCTTTTATCTTCTGAATCATCTACTTTTGGTTACGTTGGACCTCCTCAAACCAAGTCTATCTGATTAAGCTTAACTTTAAGGGGAAAAAAAGGCTGTCTTCTATATCCAGCGTGGGTTCAAGACCAGCAACACCTGCTTTACCCCATCTGTGTGCACAAAATGCAGTGGCTGAGGCTGGAAGCCACCCTCCTGGTCACTTGTGTCACCCCTGCCCAAGCAGGGTCACCATGATCACCTCCAGGAATGGGGACTCCGCAGGCTCCCTGGTTGCTCCTCCAGCCAGCAGCCACTTTCGCAAGCGGGGAAATGTTTCCTTAGGTTCGGGTGGAATTTCCTGTGTTTATGCTTGCGCTCGGTCTGTGTCCTGTCCGATCTGCGGGCACCACTGGGATCAGCCTGGTTATTTCTCCTCCATTCCAGGTATTTAAACACCAAAAAAAAACCAACTTCTGCTTGTCTAAGCTACACAACCCCAGCGCTCGGCCTCTCCTCCTGCCATCCCTCACCTGCTGCGGGGTCCTAGCCTGAAAACCCCTCACTCCTGCCACATTATTTCACTTATTCCACAGCAGAGCAGCAGCACTTGCAGGGAAACTCATAACTTTTGAGGACCGGGGAGGCATTTGGACGACCGCAGCACCTCGGCAGAGGCGTGAGCCTCCCTTTTTAGCCCCGACCAGCCTTTTGGCGAGCTCGTTGCCCACCGCACAAAGCCTGGGGGAGGGCAGCGGGATCCAGGGGTCCCGGGGAGGCACCTGCCGGCCCTACCTGAAGACGCGGAGCAGGAGGCAGGCGATGAGGGCGGCGGTGAGGCCGCAGGCCCCGATGACGGCGGCTTTCAGCGCCGAGAGGTCGCGGAGCAGCGCGGGCACGGGGCTGAGCAGGGCCCCGCTGTGGTTACCGGCGGCAGCGGGGGGCTCGGCGGGCACACGGCTGCCGTTCACCGGCCCTGCTCCTCCTCCTGCTGCTGCTGCTGCTGGAGGCTCCTGGCTGCCTCGGGAGACCGGAGGCAGCAGGAGGAGGAGGAGGAGAGGGAGGGAGGCCGAGAGCAGCAGCGGCAGCCCCGCGGAGCGCATCCTGCCCGGCTCCGGCCGCCGCAGCGCCGAGCCCCGGAAGGTTTCGGCGGCCCCGGCCCCGGCCCTGCCTCCCCGACAGGCGCCGCCTCCAGTGCGGGGAGGCGCCGGGTCCTGCCCGGCCTCCCCCGGCCTCAGGTGGTCGCAGGCTCCCGTTAGCGGCCTCTCCAGTGTCCCCGTGTCCCCCGTGTCCTCCCCCGGCTGCCTCTGTGCCCCCCAAACCCACACACCTTGTGTCCCCCCCACCCCAGGGGGTCCTGTGCATGAGGAGGGGGCCCAAAGCACCCCCTGCCCATAGGCACCCAGCGATGCTTTGGGGTCAGCTCCTGAGGAGCCCACCTGCCTTGCCTCTCAGTTACCACAGTTGTGCATGAACACACCGTTTTTTCCTCAACATCTCCTTCCTGAGCTGCCCTACATCCACAAATCCTTTCAAGCTCCAAACTGAACAAAAGTCCCAAGTAAGGACTCGCACAGGCCTTTCTCTCTTAATGTAGGGAAAAGCAGCAGGAAGCGGAGAGGAGGGCTGCTGAGAAGAAAGGCTGACAGCCTTCCTCCTGCAGCTGTGGAGGGGAGGATGAGGCAGGAACGGGAAGGATAAAAGCACTGACTGCCAGCTGGGAGCTAAGCAGAAGGGCTGAGCTTTGTGAGCAGCGTTACACTGACTGATGGACATCATGCCCAGCCTGCTTTATGTAAGTCAAGCTGCTTCTCTACCCAGTTCTTTAAAGGGTGCTAGAGGTGGTTGCCAGTCAGTGAATATCTGTCTGGTTAAAGGGTGTGCTAATCCATGCTGACTGCGTTATAAATACAGACTTGGGTCTTGTTACTTGTCCATCGAGGAGGTCACGGTGCTCATATTTCCCCAGCAGTCAATGTAGTTGTTGACTTAAACCAGCAGAGCAGAGGTGATGTTAAATACCAGTCCCTTGGTGTACAATGAGGTGTTTTGAGAGTCCATGCGTGGCTGCTCCCCAAAAATCAAACCTGTGACAATCCCCTGGGTGCCTGGGGCTGCTGCCCAGGAAGTTTGCAGGTGGGATTTGTCTCTGCAACTGCTCTTACTCTTTCAAATGGGTCATAATTCACAGCAGCTGGGAAGCCTTCTCAAAAGCTAGAGTAAACTTGAAAAACATTTTGTTTGAAAACCTGCCTGTTTTCTATATGTGCCACCAGTGTTTAGGGAAAGGGGTTCAATTATCTTGTTTCACTCTCTTTTCCCCTAGAGATATCCATCTAAGAAACAGATTGGTCTCATTTTATTTTTGAATGCCTATTAAAGCAGTGGGGTAACACCAGGGATGAATGTGGCCCAACGGGTTCCTTAAGAACTCATCTGCTCCTTATTCCAATACTATTTCCTTGCCAATAACAACTGTTTTTGATTACAACATGCAACATCTGTCCAAATATAAAATGAAGTGATCACAGAGTTCAAGCTGTGATCCATTTAAACGGGCATTCTCATGGAATGAACCTCCTTGTGCTGCTGATTCAGCATTTTATATCTGTTTAACCAGAAGAATTACTGGAACAGATTTACTTTTTTTTTTTCTTCTTTAAGCAACAAAAATACGCTAATCGCCTAGACTTTAGTTCTGGATTAATTCATGTAGCAATATTTGACATCTTTAAAATTACAGTAGTCCTTTTGTACAGGTTTATGGAAATCATAGTCATGGCTGTGCAAATCATTCCAGGTGTGCTGAGCATGTGAATGGTGCCATTAAGCAAGATAGCAGGAATCATCAGGGGAGGTCATGCTAGCATACTTATAAGATATAATTTAGTTTTGCTCCCCATGTTTTGTATTAAAGTAGCATGAGTTTCACCACTGCAAAATAATTGTATCTGGGGAGAAAGGCATGTTGCCGCTGAAATGAAGTGAAACACAGAAAGGAGAGAAGAAAAAGATTTCTCTTTTATTAACTTCTGCCTGTACTTCAGGGTTAACATGGCTGGGTATAATCTATATGAATGTGTTACTAAACTTTGACAAAGATTACAAAGAAGTGGTTCTGCTGGCAATATCCCACAGGAAAGGTAGCAGTAAAATAATGCATGGTTCATAGACGTTCCCAGCCAATTGGGGTCCTGTATCAAGTGCCACCCACTCTATGATAAAGGCATCCTGTGTTTTTCGCAGGAAATTCCTTGGGATGAGGAAATTTTTATGTGTACAATGTGGAGAAAGTCCTCTACACTGTCTGAATTGGTCATTGTTCCAGCTTTATTTCATTGCCTACTTTTGTGTAGTTTCCCAGTTTCCAACATGGGGCCCCAGTTTATTTCTGTTCAGTTTTTTTTTTTTAAAAAAAAAAAAAAGTCCAGCTGGGCAGGAGGTCAAATTGGTGATGCAGACTCTTTCCCAAACATTGGTGTGAGTGCTGCTCACATGATTTATTATTTGTAAACACTGACCCTGTTGTTGGCCCTGCCTGTTCTGAGACGTTTGCCAGCTGCTGCCTTGCCTCTATCAGATTTCGCTTCGTCTTGCACTGCCATTCCTCTTACGTCTCAGTGTTTTGCCATAGGATAAAGAAAAAGGTGTAGGGGCTTCTAAAGTGAGAATCACCCCTAGCTGGTCACAGAGCTTCAAATATGCCATATATGCATCTACCACGCCATTCCTTGGGTATGTGAAATCAGAGCTTTGCATTGCCACGTACCAGGTACCTGTCTAGTCAAAAATACTCTTTATGCTCACAAATTAATATCCATAATCACAGTGTGTGAATTCACACTCAGGATTTTGCCTTAAGTGCCCAACTGTAAAAAACAGATGATGTACCGTATTGATCCTTAGGTCCTTACCTTTTGTGTTTCTTGGGCAAGGAGGGATGAACCGCAAGGATTCCTACTAAGCTTGCACAGAGGTGACTACTGCCAGCTTTGTAGTGGGGTGATGCAGGATGGGTGGGCAGCCCAAAATCATTTTTGAGTGTAAAAAATGGGCATTTGTGGACCTACATTTTTCTTGTGATCATCTTCTCTTAGCGTGGCTGCTCTGGTGCAGGACTGGCAAAGGAGCTCTGCAAGCTCTGTAACACAAGTCAGTTTGTTTTAGATCCATTTTTTAATAGAAGCAGCCTTATTCCTGAAATATTCTGTAAATTTGCAACAGGATTTGCTGTATTGTATGAGTGCATCGGACTAATTTCCTCTAAAATGCTCAGCCTGAAACATCTGTTACTTGACTAGTGTAAACCAGGCAGTGGTGGTTGCTAGATCTGGCGCTCTTGTTTGACTTTTATTGCTACTTTGGCTTTTTTTGATGTTCCTCTGGCAGATATTTCAATCTACTAAGATTTAGGCTGAAAGCCAGCACAGAGAATTAATATTTATTGTCACTACAGAGTTCCTCTATTTGACAAGGTGCAATTGTATCAGTATGTGTGGTGTCACAGATATTCCAAACAGTCTAGAAATGATAAAGCTCAGGATTCTTCAGGCTTGTTTCTGATCCCCCTAAGAAGTAGGTTTATGCTGTTGGATTTTATTATTTTTTTTTGGTGCTCAGACAAGAAGCAGCACAGCAGGAGGAAGCAAAGAAAGGTGTTACCCATGTACAAAGTGCAATTACTTCCATTTGTATCTTTGCTCTGTCATCTGCCTTCTAAGGATCTTCTTTCTGCCCTCGGTAATTTGGTTCTGAAGATAATTGGCTTTAACAATATACTCTGTGACAGTGATTAATGATTTGGATATTTTTTTTTTATTGCATTCCTTGCATCCAGTTAAATTCTGATCAGCAATGTCTAGACGTATGTGGGGGTAGAGGCATGCCTGTGTTTAGAAATTGGACCTACCAAGTGGGAGCCCCGTAAGTTGCCTCTCTGTACCTCCTGCATGAACCCCACATGTCTCCCCCACTGGAAGGAGTGGAGGAGTGTCAGAGAAATACAGATGTGTCCAAACATCGAGTGTTTCATGAGGCTGGTGCTGAGATTATTCTTCAGTGGTGCCTGGAGCCACATCAGGAGCTCTCTGAATGAGACAAATCTTTCTCTTGACTAAGTGTTTAACAGAAGGCTCGCCTGTACTGCTTTGAGGGGTTCAGCAGGTGCCTGGAAGTGTCTGTGACTTGCTGTGAGGAGGTGCTCAGATGGAGCAGAGCTTCTGGATAGTGCCCTGCAGCATTAGCTGTGTGGCTCACCAAGTAAACTGTAGAGAAAGTCCCCTGCACAGAGATAACGTAGCATGGGTGGGTGTGAAGTACCCAGTAATTCTGCTGCTCCATTTGGCAAAAGGAGGCAAAGGGTTGCCTTCTTCCATGGCTGCCCTTAAACAGTGTACTTGGAGCCTGGAGGCCCTACGTTTTTTCCCTTGATTTTCCTTCCTGCAATGTGATGGGACATCCTATTCTGCCACATTGTGTGTGATGCTGAGGTACTACTATTCAATTACAATTTAATTTCATTTTGTTCTTTAATTAGGACAGACTGGGACTCGTTCCCAGCTGTTCAACAGAAATCTCACACAGCTGATTGTTAGGAAAATAGTATCACCATTTCTTTATGAGCTACACAAGGTATCTCGTGTAGTCTCTTCCCCTTCAGATGTCGAAAGGCCAAACCGGTGGAAAATAGCTTGACTTGCTTGAGAACAAGGCAGAAAGCCCCAGGAGGAAGTGTATCTCCTGAGGACTTCCCAGCATCTCAGCTAACTTTAGACACCGTAAACTGATCCAGCTGTCCTTGCTGCCTTAATTTGTCAGGCGATTTATTGCTCTTCAGAGCCAGAAGAGGGAAAGTTTTACCCCAAAAGTGAAAATACTAAACCAGGGTCAAGAATCAGTATCTTGGAAATGAATCACAAAACTATGACACAGAGGGCAAAGGACCCTCATTTCAACAACAGTAATACAGTAGGATCTTGCCTTTTTTAAAAAGCTTTGCAATAACCTTCAGCCATTCAAAAGAATGACTTCCAGAATAACATTATACTTGCTCTTCAGATTATCATCGAAACAAGTAAATAGGATGTTAGAGCAGAGGAAGCTTGGAAGCTTTTTTTTTTTACAGTCCTACCCCTAAAAATGCCAGTGGGAAGCAAGACATCCAAAATCCCTTTCA